TAAAAAAAAAAAAAAAAAAGTGCCGGAACCCACAGCTTGTTAATCTTTTATTTAGGGTTTTTTTTAGGGTAATCTTTTATTAGCAGGACTGGTAGTTGAGAAGTAATTAGTAATTGTTTTCATTTTTAAATTTGGGGTCACACTTTTACACTAAAAATTTACAAAAGATTTTCAATTCACCAACTTTTTTTAAAATAAAGAAATTATTTACCTTTTGCACATAGCCAGTCACTCTACACACAGCAACACTGTGTAATGAAACATAATGGTCGCCGCCCACAGTAAGCGCGTGAGCACACGACCAATCACAAGTCGAGCAGCGTCAAAAGCCAAGCAGCGCCATTACAACCAGTGCGGACACACAAGCAGCCCACATGCACTATTTTAATGATTTTGCCGCCGACCTGCTACACCCGACAGGGCAATTCAAAATCACGTGGAAAAATCCATTGAAAAAAGGTGCCGGAATGCCGTTCCGGTGCATTCTATGACAAAAAAAAAAAAAAAGCCCTGTATCTGTCTTACTGTCTGTTGCATTTGTATGCTGCCTCATAGCCAGAGGCTCTCTTATGTGGCAGCATATTATGGCGCACACACACAGAGAAATAGCATTTCATCTAACTGTAATTCATACATTTATGTATTATTCATAGAGTACAATTATTTCTTACAATCATAAATGTATTTTTCTTATCATTTAAACTATGAGAAAACTGCTTGCTTGCTTGCTTGTCCATCACTGGAATTAAGATTTGGCAGGGGATAAATGTGGCCATAGGCCAGCAGACACCCCTGCTCTTTTAGTGCAACCAGGTAGAAGACTCCTGCAGTCTCTGCGATGTATGGAACAGCTGACTCATTGCTCGTGTCTGCTGGGCTCTAGCAATGCCGTTTCTGCCCATGAGAGATGCTACAGTAATTGGCAGAAGGAGAGTTTGCCATTCTTCCTACTACCCTTGGGAATTATGATGACGAATGTCCACAATGACTGTCATACTCTAAACCCCATTCCCATTCGTCCTCCTTCCTTAACCACTTTGCTCCAATGCCCCAGCCTTCCTTTGACAAAACTCAGTAACCACCTTGACATACAGTCTGCTTTGTGGACAGTTTCTTGCCAGCCTGCTTTTCTCCTCAATAGTGTTCTTTTAAAACAAACAAACAAACAAACAGCCCCTGAAGAGCTCATTTAAAGTGACCTCCGAGAGCAGAGAAGCTGGTGTGTGTGGTTTTTTGTCTTTTTTTGGTGGGTGCAGTTTGGAATATATTGTCAGGCTTCAGCTGCTGTGTTGCTGGAAAAAAGGCAAAGGAAGCCCATCTGTTTCCTGACATTCATATGAACTGAATGGTGAGATAAATTTGGAATTCATGATATAGAATAACCCTAAAAGTCATTCAGAAGTGTGCCATTCCTCTGTACACACCATTGCACTTACCTGAAAATAGAATACCTTTGCGGACAACTGTAGGAGAGACGACTCTACCTGCATGCTAATTTGCCAGCTATCTGTACAAGACCTCAAAAGCAAGCGTCTGGCTGCATCCGTTTCCATGGTGCTGTCACGCTGCTTCCTCTCGACAGCTTCACTTATCAACATTTTCCACCCGTCCTCCTTGTCTGCATAATGTGCAGTTCATTCAGCTAGAAAGTTCAGCTATTGTAATGATGGCTTGGGCTGTGGGGGAGGGAGAAAAGCATCGGGGTGAAGAGGTGAGACACATTCATGGAGGTATACGGGGAGTTGGCTCTGTAACACAATGGGGAAATAGAAAACATGATTCTTCCCACATTTACACTGTCCTTCTGGAAAAGAAAAACACTGACACAGACACAGAGAGCTCGGTTGGTGTCTGAGCCAAAACTCATGGAGATCTAACTGGTTTCAAACACCTATCCAAATGCATTAACTGTACAAAAGAATGGTGGTAAGAGAACAGTAAAACAGGAGTGAGACTTGCATCTGTTGTAAAGTAGTCTCTTGTTCATCATGCATCAATTATCAGGCAAACCTGCCTGTCTAGCTGACTCAAGCCCTGCTGCTTGCCCATCAAACTGGCTGCCTCAGTTAATTGGCATCCATGTCTTTCTTCTCCACAGGACAGCTTTCCTGCTCGCTTCGGGGGAGTCCATTTTGTGAACCAGCCATGGTACATCCATGCCCTGTACACGCTCATCAAGCCTTTCCTCAAAGACAAGACAAGGAAAAGGGTAATTTGAGATGAAATGAGTCTGCCCACCAGGACATACATAGATTCCTGCTTTCCATTGTCCATTGTCTCCTCATGTTTGCTGTGTGTGGCCACTAATGCCTCATTTGGAGTTTGCCAACAGCCCACATTCAATCAATGTTTTAACAGGAGAGAGTTATGTTCAGAATCCAATCCAGGAATTAGAGAAGCTTTCCTCATCTGTAAACAAAAGACATCATTTGAAAATAAAAATACATATAGAGAAAATGGTTAGATGGGGCTATGCTGGAGGAAGACTAGAGGGAAATTCCACCAAAATGCTTTCAGAACACTTCTTCCCTATCTCTTATGTACATTTTCATCCTGAAAGTTTCCATTTTGCTTCTTAGGTCTACTGTTGTATGGTAAAGTGGGGCAGGGGAAAACCCTGATCATTCCAGCATTTAATACTGCTAGACAACGGAGTCTATTGTGACCAGAAACATTGGAAAAAAATTTCATATACCATTTTTATCATAGTCTATATAAAATTATGACTGAAAGGGTCACTTTTAATGTAATTCTTCTAATTATTATTAAACCAGCAGGAGAGGCAAAATTACAAAAGGGAAAGCCAAGTATTCTAATTCTGTCCTGTCTATCCTTGGCCACCTGGCCTGAACATGTTGGATGAAGGTTATTAGTAACAGGTAGCCTGTCTGCTGAAGTAAGTTACCTACATGATCATGAATCATGATGGTCCATGTTTCCAAATCACAAGAAAACTCTATGAGTAGAGCAGGCTTCACTTTTGAACACATGGGGTGTGGTGGGTGACAGGGCTGGGAACAATGATGTCAAAAGGAGTGGGTAGCAGATGCTTCTCCTCATTTATGGGAACACCTTTTCAATTGTATGAGGGCTTCAGAAACAATATGGAGGAGTGAATTGTTAAAATTTATTTCCACAAGATAAACTTGTAAACCAACACTTTGCAACCAAATAGGAATGCAAACGTAAGCTTCCCAAACAATTACTTCTTCCCCAATTGTGTTTGGTGCAGTGGGGAGTGCCAGAGAAGATAATTAACACAATATACACAAATAAGTACTTGTAGAGCATGGGTGGGCAACTTATGGCCCTCCAGATTTTTTACCCTTTGAGTCCCTTCAGTGCTAGTCAGTATAGTCGGTAATGAAGGATAATGGAATTTGTAGTTTAAAATTTCTGGAGGGCCATAAGTTGTCCTCCCTTCCATAGAGAATTGAAGAAATGTGAAAGAAGATGAAATATTCTTCAGGTAAAAAGTAATATTCCACATAATGGCAGGAGACAAGTGCTGTGCTAACAGTAAGAATGCAGGAATTATTGTGGGAAATGAAACAACAAGAATGCAGGAATTATTGTGGGAAATGAAACAATAAGAATGCAGGAATTATTGTGGGAAATGAAACAACAAGAATGCAGGAATTATTGCAGGGAAAAGAGCAACTTCACTGCTGGCAACCTCACTCTGGAATGCCATCCACAGAAAAGCTATCTTACTATTTTTCTAGTAATCCTTCTAGCCTCTGGTAAATACCTTTATTGCTCATCTTTAAACAACTTTTATCTTAATAGTGAGATTTTAGGCCATTTTTATATTTCTATGGTGTGGAACTTTATATTTTTCTGTTTACTTGTTTTTTTAAAAAATTGGGATTTCTGTTTGAAAGCAGGTTAGAAATACTGATAATAAATACAATTCTACCAGCCTCTTGGCACAGAAAAGATGCATGCTTTTATGAAGATTATAACTGAAATGTACTTCCTGACCTTGACTGGAAGCCCATCCTCTTATAACATCTTAAAGTTCTTAAAGCAGAAGTGCCTAATCTCAGATGTGTGTGCCATGTTCTTCAGCATTTGCAGGTTTTATTTCCCATTCTGAAAGGCTACGATGACTCTCCAAAGGCTTAATTACTGGGAACTAGCACTTTAAGCTACCATATTTTTTCACCCCCTTTTGTCTTTGACCTCACTCACCACTGGAATGCAAACCCTAAAAGCTTGAAGGTCTTTGGCTTGAGGGTCTTGGAGTCCCCAGCTCAGGAGTCTGCATTCTTGATCCTTGGGTTTGTGGTTTTTGGTTCAGCAGTGGATCCAGTGCAATATTTCCTCCATCAGCCTCTGGAGCCATGTCCAGGTCACTAAGCTGTGAGGACCACACCCAAACACAGTTGCTCATTTCTTTCCCTTTCTGCTATCTATCTTCATAGTTGGTATACACATTTCCATGATTCCTTCATTTTATTTAAAAGATTTTGTCTGATTAAAAGTCTTCAAAGACTTCTAAGCAGAAGACAGCACTAAAAGAAGCAGATAGCAAAGTAGCAGTAAAAGAAATAACCATTAAGAGCTTGGAGGAAGGTAGACAACAATGCAGAGCCCTTTGGAATTGTTTTCTACCACTAGGAAATGACAGTGGTGAAGACTGTCTCTCAATTTCCTTCTGACAAGGGTCTTAGAGAAAGGACAGCTAATATGGGACAATGTGACATGACCAGTGTCTTGGTCCAGCCATACAGAGCTTTATAGGTGATGACCAGTACCTTGAATTGCTCCTGGAAACAAATGCGAAGACACTAAAGACTTTAATAGGAGCAAGAGATGTTCCAGCCAAGCAGTTTTAGTCTATGAACCAGCTGCCATATTCTGAACCAATATAACTCGTCCAGTAACATTCATGCAGCTCAAAGGGTACAATGCAACAGTGTCCTTTCACATAGATTGTACTAACAGAGTTCTGGCAAATATTTCTGTTGCCCAAGCAATTGCACATAACTGCATAAGCAGTGGAATAAGGGGAATATACAACCAGTGGTTGTGTCAATGTAATGCTGAAGGAAGGGGCTGTAACCCAGTGGTAGAACATACCTTTAGAATGCAGAAGGTTCCTAATTCAATTCCTGGCATCTCCAAAAAGGGCAGGAAAAGCTGCCTGAAATCCTGAATTGCTGCTGCCAGTCTGTATTAACATTGAGCTAGATGGACTAGTGGTTTGCCTCAGTGCAGCTTCCTATATTCCTAAATCATGCTTGCACTAATGTGACTTGGACTGGATTCTCCTCCTGCATATAGTTCAGAACCTTATTTCCACTGATGTAACATCATTTTTGTGAATCAAATGATGCAGTTGGATACTGCATCTGGTAAACAAGGGGCTATAACTGATATGATGTGCAAGAGAATTGTGTCTTCCTGGCCCATATAATTATATCTTCCTTTATGATCCTTAATTTTTTAATGGCTATGAAAATTTAGAACAAAAGAACTAACAGCATCCATTATTGTCTCCTCCCCCACCTTTTTTTTTTTTGCGGGGGGGGGGTGTTTCTAAAGATATTTCTCCATGGTAACAATCTGAATAGCCTTCACCAGCTTATACACCCTGACTGCCTGCCCTCAGAGTTTGGAGGGACACTTCCTCCTTATGATATGGGCACTTGGGCTCGGACGTTACTTGGTCCAGACTACAGTGATGAAAACGACTACACTCACACTTCCTACAACACCATGCACGTGACACATTCATCTTCCAACCTGGAGAGAGAATGCTCACCAAAACACATGAAAAGGTAAGAACCAAGAAATAAGATTTTGTTGGAGCAGCTTCAGAGAAGATGCTTTTTAATGAGTTTCTCTGCATAAAGCAGTAACAAATGAAATAATGCTAAAGTTGAAAGGAAGCAATAGAATAGAGGTTGTTATGTGGAAACAAAATAACATTATCTATACAAAATGAAGTTCCTTGCCCAATAATCATGAGCAAAGCAATTTGAAGTAAAAATGGTCTTGCTGGTGTATTAAATGGAAGGGTACTGTCACAAAGGAATGCTTTTCATGAGACATCAGTACTTTTCAGGAGCTGAGTGGTGATAGTTGACTTTGGTGCATATTGGTCGCACTTGTTAAGCATACTGAAAAAAAATCTGCCTGTAATGAAGGGAATAAAATAAGTTCTGCAAGCACCACTGCTCCTCAGATTAAAGAACAACATTGCCGAACTTGATCCAAAGGCATTCTCCTGACAAATCCAAAGGGGATGATTTTCTGTTTCACCACCACTCATGCAGTGCCTTATGTGTCCTCAGCATTTGCTCTGAAGAGCTGGGAGGAACTCTAGAGTAGATTTCCAGGTGACAGGGGGCTGCAGTGGGGAGAAGAGAGGGAGTTTGTCCTATTGTGCTAGAGCGATGTTGTATTTAACCATCTGTAGGAAGCTAAGGTTCTTCCTTCACACATTTGGAGCCACAAAGCATTCCTTATTGACCCAAAAGCACAAAGCACCCAGAATAAATCCCTGAACATGCAGAGTGGTTTGTTGAAGCCAATACATTAGTCACCTGCAGGTATTCTCCTAATGAGCATGCCTGGGCCCCATCCCTTCAGGAGAGGCCTTCTGAAAATAGCACACCACTTTGCTTTATGCCAATCCTCTAACTGAGCTTTCCTCCTCTGGTAATGATGTGTCATATGGTGAAGAACCATGCCTGCCTTGTTTGAATCTGAGAAAGTCCCCTGCTTCAAGTCCACTCCTGACAACTGTACATCTGGTTATTCCCGGAGAGTGTCTAACCACCTGGGCCTCAAGATAAACACCTCCACTTCTCTCATCTCAGTGTCTCTGGTTCCCTGCTGTTCCCATACTTCTGATTCTTCTGAAGGCCAGCCAGCATCCCTTGAGAAAAAGCGGCCAAAGTAGCCATCTTTCACATTCCCAACATCATCTATGTTCTTTATGAACTACTAGCACCTGTGCAGGACTGGTATCAGCAGCACCAAAGTATCTGTGGGTATTTGCCAAGGCTCAGATGCCTTGGCAGGAACTGCAAGTAGTAACACCTGCCTGTGCATTTTCCTGGTTTCCGACCTATCTGGAAGCGTGGCACCCTGCCTACCTACCATGTTGAATTCTCCACAACGTAATGGAATATCTAATGTGCACAAGGCATTCCATGGCACTGTAAGAAAATTTACATGGTAGGCAACTTCTCAGACTCAGTTTTTGATCAGATAAACCAGTGGCTGGTAGAGGAGGTGACTAGGATGGCCACTTATACATCACCAAAAGAGCGAGGGCGGATGGCCACTTATACATCACCACAAATTTAAAAATAATAACTTCTATAATGCAATACATCTGAACATAGTGGAGGAGACTGCCTAGGTGACCTGTGTGCCTGCTCATTCTGCTATCCAGTTACTGAGGGCTAGTGGGCAGCTCCAAGATCTTGCTGGCTCATTTTCCTTCTTGTTCTTTGATTCAAATTAGACTTGGGTTGGAAACTTCCTCATCTAAGTGACACTTTCAAATATGGGCTATTTTTGCTGGCTCTCCATAATAGAGGACTATCCTCTGTAAAGGTCATCCAAAGGAGACACTGAATTGGGACAGGTCTTTCAAGCTTGGAACCATCTATGAGCTAAGCATTAAGATATTTGGAATAGGATGCACGTTCTTAGAGTTCCTTTTTCCGTGTCTTCCCGTCTCAAGATTCCATTCCCTTGCTTCCTCTCCATCACAATTGCATGTTTCACTGGCACTGGTGCTGTGACTAATACAAATCATATTCTCTCTTAAACATGAATTGAAACCTAAACACAGTGCAAACATTCTAAGGTCACATTGCAGGGAAGAAGTCAAATCATGTGAGTTTAATTTTATGGAAAAAAGACCAGTAGGACAATAGTCCTCCTATTCTCTTTATGGCAGAAAGAGACAACCTGTGGCCCTCCAGAGGTTTCAGCCTACAGCTCCCACCAGCCCAGGCCAGTCAATGGTGACAAGAGATGTAGGCCAAAATATCTGGAAGGACACAGGTTGTGCAAGCCTCTGCCAAAATGAGCTCCAGATGGTGCAGCTGAACACTCTAGAGAAGCTGCTATCCTCAGTTTGTGAGAGGTTTTTTGCAGCTCTGAAATACAGTTCCCACAAATGAGATTATGAATAGTAACTGTTATGTGTATGGCTGAATCCTTATGCTGTTCATTGCAGTCTTAGGAAGATCATTTTGAGTGGATCTAGGTTTTTAATCCTTTACACAGTCTCCTGAGAGTAAGTTCAATTGAAGCCAGTTTGACTTTCTTTGGACTAAACTTTAGAGTCCCCCAGTCATTGCTCCACTCCCAGAAAACAAGTTTAGCACACACCAGAATATATACGGTTAAAGGTAAAGGTTTCCCCATGAGATTAAAGTCTAGTCAGGTCTGACTCTTGGGGACGGTGCTCATCTCCGTTTCCTGGCTGAGAGAGCCAGCATCTGTCTGCAGACCGTTTCTGTGGTCACGGGGCCAGCATGACTAAACACCAAAGTGCATGGAATGTTGTTACCTTCCCACTGAAGGGGTACCTTTTTATCTACTGATTTGCATGATTTCGAACTGCAAGGTTGGCAGGAGCTAAGACTGAGTACGGGAGCTCACCCTGTCTGCAGATTTGAACTGTTGACCTTTTGCTCAACCAGCACAGTTTAAATGCACTGTGCCACTGCATCCCTACACCAGAATATGCAACATACAAAAATGTTGCAATATATATCTGAAGAAAACTGGGATATAATCACAGAAATGGCATGCAGAAGATGGTTTGATGTGAACATCATGCCAGTGAGTCAGGCATTATGATGCCAGTAAAAATGCAAGTGTAGATCCTCAGCCTTTGAAAGACTTTAAAAGAGTCTGCAAATGTGTCATATGGTATTGGACCGTGAAACCCAGGTTCTAGTCCTCCCTTACCCATGAGGGTAACTGTGACTTTTGAGCAGTCAAGAGCTGTCAGCCTACTCAAACTCATAGGCATGAGAGCCAGTGTGGTGCAGTGGTTAAGAACACAGGACTAGGACTCAGGTGACCTGAGTCCCTGCTCAGCCATGGAGCTAGCTGGGTGACTTTGGGCCAGTCACAGACTCTCATTCCTACTTACCTACAGGGTTGTTGTTGTGAGGTTATGACTGACAGGAGGAGGAGAATTATGTGAGCTGCCTTGAGTCCTTTGCAAGAAAAATGCAGGATATAAATCAAACAAACAAACAAACAAACAAGCATGTTTTAACAAGGATAAAATATAGAAGAGGAGGACCATACAAGTCACCTTGGGTTCCTTGCAAGAGGGAGAAAAGTGGTGCATAAATGCAGTATAATACTACTAATGATTTTGAAATCACTTGACAGGTGTCAAAAAGTAAGTTGTCAAGGGAGAGCAATACCATAAGGAATCTTTGCTCATGGTGGGGTGGCAATTTCTGCTCCCCATTGCAGTCAAATCTTCAGGGATTTTTCTTTTTCCTCACTTACTTGAGTCTCCATCTACTTGGGAAAATGAAGATCATGAGGCCATCCCCTTTTATGAGCTTTTTAATGGATGTCCATTAAATATGCTCTAAGAAATCTCCATAACTGGTTTTTGACAGGAAAATAAAAACCATATGTGGGGATTTGGAGGAGAGTTTAATAGCTGTCAGGTTAGCAAGTTGCAAAGTAATTTCTCTTCAAGCTCTCTTGTCCAATGTCCATGATTGGTGTTTGCTCCACTTTCACAGCAAGCATGTTTCAGGACATTGTCCAGGTAAGCTTTTCCATGTCAGCTATGCGGAGCTGTTCATTTGTCCAAGCTCAGAAAACTAGCAAAAAAGCTATTTTTTAATCTTAAAAAAATGCATTTAGTTGGAAGGAAGGAAGGACAGATGGACAGACAGATGGATAGAAGAGGTGGTGAAATACTAATAGCCCTTCCAGTGCATTCCCTGGGCACTTTGGATGGGCTGTCCACACTTTGGCAACTGTGAGTGTTGGTTGGTCTCTGGAAGGAAAAGAGGGGAGCTGTGGGAAAGCTAAATGACTTGCAATTGCGGTGGGGAGTGGAGACAAGATGGTTTTGGTCACCAAGCCCTTTGGTATGCCTCCTGCAGGACAATCAGGGAAGGAAGTGTGGACAACCCATAGTAAGCCCATCATCTGTCGTTATACTATGGGTTGTGCCATGGACAACCCAGATTGCATAGCTTAGTCTCAGGGCAGGTTGCAGTGCTGAGTGAACTCACTCTGTAAGCAAAGACCGTAATGGGAGCTGAAAATGCATTCCTCAGTGATTGGATACTTCACTCTGTGTTTTGCATCTGTCTTGAGGATAGCCTTCTCACCTCCAGAAATATAGGCTAGTTACTATGACAACTTTATTTCCTCTGTGTACGCTGCATGCACTGAGAAGATCAGGGAAACCATCTATCTCAAAATGACAAAAACCACAGGATGGAAGTCATGATAGAACAAGCTGAACTCAAGACTATCTCCTCTAAGGAAATTAAGGAAATATAATGGCACTGGGGTTGGAAAAGAGGGGCTTAAGTAGATAATAGAAGCAATATCTATATTCTTGCTGAAAGTATAGAAAGACAGAATATAATAAACCCAAGATCTTTCATGTAACATAAAATTGAGAATGAGTGGGTGTTCAAGATGGTCAGTGCTTCCAAATATCCTCTGGTTTTATGCTCTATTTCCCTGTCCACAAATATGTATCTGGAAAACAAAGTATTAAGGTGCAACTCTAGCTCTGGCTGGGGAATGCTGGGAGTTG